AAAGTAAATGGCACAGATCCATATATGGCAATGGTCTATTTGCATATAGGCCTACTGCAGCTCTGATTGTTCATGCCGCACAGGCCTGTGTAGAGTACGGGCTGAGTAGTGCGTGTCAATGCAATAGAATCCTACTCCGATGCCTTCTGCCTACAACAACATTTCTTACATAGTTTGTTTTGTTTCGGTATGTTTCATTGAAAGTGGCTAATATTGCGTGGATTCGATCACAATTGCCACAGTAAAGGGAAGTGTTGATAGTGTTAACAGGGAAAACTCTAGAACAGTGGTCACCAACCTTTTCTGAGTCAAGATCACTGAGTCAAACTGCAAGCCGAGAACTACAGCTCAGATTTATTTTTTCTTCACTTAAAAGAGTAAGCCTATGCAACATTAAACAATTAAAAACAGTCCTGTCGCAATGAGGTTTGTGAGGTAAGCTATTGGCCCAATACATTACCACTGCATATTTGCTTTGCTTAAATTGACCTGCCAATGCATTGTCGTTCGGGACATATAAAAATTGGAGGTAAGCTATATGATCACACGGGTAATAGATCCGTTGTTGTATTACTTGTAAAGCACAGCTGAGTGAGTATACATTTATAAAATCGTATTTGTCATGTGCGCTGAATACAACAGGTGTAGACCTTACCGTGAAATGCTTACTTACAAGCCCTTAACCAACAATGCAGTTTTAATAAAATAGAGATAAGAAAATATTTACTAAATAAAATAAAAAATAAAGTAACAATAATGAGGCTATATACAGGGGGTACCGGTACCGAGTCAATGTGCGGGGGTACAGGTTAGTTGAGGTAATTTAAATAATTAGCTTTTTATTTTACTGGGCTGATGGTGCCTGCATCTGATGGTCAGTCTCAGTGGAGGGAGCGAGCAGCAGACTGATGGTCCAGTCTCAACATCCCTCCGCTCTCTCTTTCCTCCACTGACACTGACCAAAAAGGGACAGTCTTCCAACTGATGGCAAAACTCAAGTCGCACCACATTATTTCTGCCTCATGCACAAATTCATGTTGTTACTCCTATGAACAGAGAAAGTGAAATGTTCCTCGATATTGACCCAAGCTGCTAATAATAACAACACAAGTCTATATATACACTTTCCTACTCATTCATTACTGCTGCAGTGCTTGTTGTAGCGCTGAGTGGAAATAGGAAGAATGCACATTTTATGGCTTATAAAAGTGTTGAATACAAAAGTGTTGACAGTGGTGAGTAAGAACTTAAACATGAACTCACTCATAAAAACAGCATTTCTTTGCTGTATTCGTTCACAGTCTCTCTCTAGTCATGGTTTTAAATATTTTGAAATCTCACAGTATTAACTTTGCTGTAGCTTTCTTTTATGCCTGCTATACTGTAGGTGTCAGAATGTAACATCTTGTCAGTCATAAAACCGGAACAGTGTCGGAGTCTAATGGAATTATTATTTTGCCAAAAATCATGTACAATGAGTTTATAGAGTTAGAAAGTAGCTTGCTTAACGTCAACTAATGGCTCCGTTTCTAGTCTAGTGGAGTGGTTCCCAAAGTGAGGGGAACCCCCCCGCCAGATGTTCCTATAAGCCATGCAGGCTTGCAGTTGCTCCGAGACTGCCACGCAGTGAAATGCAATCGCGTGCTTCTCTCTGTGGGCTGATATTTCTGCACGGTAGTCTCAGGGCTACTGCAACTGTGCACTGCTTAGAGGGAACATTTGGAGGGGGTGGGGGGGGGGGGGGGGAAACCACTCCACTAGACTAGAAACTGAGCTACTTTCTAACGCTATAAACTCATTGTACATTATTTTGGGCAAAATAATAATTCCAGTCGACTCCTACACTTATGGTTTTATGACTGACAAGATGTTACATTCTGACACCTACAGTATTTCCACAAAATTATGCAAATCAACCTATAGACTGATTAGCATGACCCCTAAATTACAGCATTGATAACACACAGACTGATATGGCACCCTATTCCCTACATAGCGTACTACTTTTGACAAGGGCCCATTAGGCGGCCAATAGGGTGCTGTTTGGTCAAAAGCAGTGTACTATATAGGGAATAGGGTGACATTTGGGATACAGTTATAGACTCCTCTTCCCAAAACATGAGATAGTAAGTTCTGGATATATATATATATATTCAGAGCCCCAGGCAGGTGGTATAAGCGTGATTACATTTTGCAGCTGTAATTGCATGTCACACTATGAGAGTATTATAGTCCTAGCCTTCCTCAAAGACCTGATAGTTGATTCCAATCTCTCTCGTGCGTATGTGCGCGTGTGAAACAGTCGCCATCTAAACTTAATCTCCTAAATCAGGGGTTCCCAAACTAGGGGGCGGCACCTTCCTTGATTTGAGGGGTAATTATTATAATATATATACACACAGTGGGGAGAACAAGTATTTGATACACTGCCGATTTTGCAGGTTTTCCTACTTACAAAGCATGTAGAGGTCTGTAATTTTTATCATAGGTACACTTCAACTGTGAGAGACGGAATCTAAAACAAAAATCCAGAAAAACACATTGTATGATTAAGTAATTCATTAGCATTTTATTGCATGACAATTATTTGATCACCTACCAACCAGTAAGAATTCTGGCTCTCACAGACCTGTTCGATTTTCTTTAAGAAGCCCTCCTGTTCTCCACTCATTACCTGTATTAACTGCACCTGTTTGAACTCGTTACCTGTATAAAAGACACCTGTCCACACACTCAATCAAACAGACTCCAACCTCTCCACAATGGCCAAGACCAGAGAGCTGTGTAAGGACATCAGGGATAAAATTGTAGACCTGCACAAGGCTGGGATGGGCTACAGGACAATAGGCAAGCAGCTTGGTGAGAAGGCAACAACTGTTGGTGCAATTATTCGAAAATGGAAGAAGTTCAAGATGACGGTCAATCACCCTCGGTCTGGGGCTCCATGCAAGATCTCACCTCGTGGGGCATCAATGATCATGAGGAAGGTGAGGGATCAGCCCAGAACTACACGGCAGGACCTGGTCAATGACCTGAAGAGAGCTGGGACCACAGTCTCAAAGAAAACCATTAGTAACACACTACGCCGTCATGGATTAAAATCCTGCAGTGCACGCAAGGTCCCCCTGCTCAAGCCAGCGCATGTCCAGGCCCGTCTGAAGTTTGCCAATTACCATCTGGATGATCCAGAGGAGGAATGGGAGAAGGTCATGTGGTCTGATGAGACAAAAATATAGCTTTTTGGTCTAAACTCCACTCGCCGTGTTTGGAGGAAGAAGAAGGATGAGTACAACCCCAAGAACACCATCCCAACCGTGAAGCATGGAGGTGGAAAGATCATTATTTGGGGATGCTTTTCTGCAAAGGGGACAGGACAACTGCACCGTATTCAGGGGAGGATGGATGGGGCCATGTATCGCAAGATCTTGGCCAACAACCTCCTTCCCTCTGTAAGAGCATTGAAGACGGGTCGTGGCTGGGTCTTCCAGCATGACAACGACCCGAAACACACAGCCAGGGCAACTAAGGAGTGGCTCCGTAAGAAGCATCTCAAGGTCCTGGAGTGGCCTAGCCAGTCTCCAGACCTGAACCCAATAGAAAATATTTGGAGGGAGCTGAAAATCCGTATTGCTCAGCGACAGCCCCGAAACCTGAAGGATCTGGAGAAGGTCTGTATGGAGGAGTGGGCCAAAATCCCTGCTGCAGTGTGTGCAAACCTGGTCAAGACCTACAGGAAACGTATGATCTCTGTAATTGCAAACAAAGGTTTCTGTACCAAATATTAAGTTCTGCTTTTCTGATGTATCAAATACTTATGTCATGCAATAAATGCAAATTAATTACTTAAAAATCATACAATGTGATTTTCTGGATTTTTGTCTCTCACAGTTGAAGTGTACCTATGATAAAAATTACAGACCTCTACATGCTTTGTAAGTAGGAAAACCTGCAAAATTGGCAGTGTATCAAATAATTGTTCTCCCCACTGTATATATATTTTTAAACAATTCACAATTATTTATGCCAATTTAAAACGAAGCATAAATACACAATGGTTTAGGCTAGAAACAAGCTGTAAAAAACCAGAGGAAGATACGACTGATGCACGTGGGAATACCTCTATGACATTCAGAAGCTGAGCTACAACTTTGGACTCTTGGACTTTGCTTGGGAAGTAATCTTATACAATGTGTGACTGTCGCCATCAATTGTTCAAATCACTCTCTGTAAAAGAGAATACGTATAATTAAATAGAGGGTTCATATAAATTACCATAAAACATTTGGTAGTGGAATAACGTTTCAGGAAATAGGGTCTAGACTTTATTTTCCTTATCCATGTTTATTATTATCATCATTAAATAGCCTACCTAAAAAGTGTAATGAGTCTTGTTAAACTACATAGAATTGCAGGAAATGAGCTACAAAACAAAAATCTTGTCAAACGTGAAAAGGGGCCCTGGGGAAAAAAGGTTGGGAAACCCCTGTCCTAAACGCCATCCAGCACAGAAATAGGATCCCGTCAAATGAACGGCTACTATACAAGGATAGTACAACCACAAGGTGAGATTCGGGATGTGTCCCAAATAGAATCCATTTAGGACACAACCTTATGGAGCAATAAGGGCACCTGAACTCACCTGCCCCCTCTGCCCGTGCGCCGCCGTGACAAGCCTACGCAGCGCCGGGGCACCGTTAGGGACGTGAGACAGTAGCGGAAACGAGGGTCGCCCAAACCGCCCTCCGACGGGCTGACCCATGGCCAGTTACCACTCTGGTCCAGACGAGACTGAGACAGGGAGAGAGAGGAGAGACAGGGAGAGAGGAGAGCGAGATCGAGAGAGTTAGAGACAAAGGAGGAAAGCTCCGTAAGTAAGGCATTGGTGTGACCAGTAGAATGTGGAAGGTAAAAAAGCAGCAGAGTCAGTGGCAGCCCTGACTGTGTGTGGCTGGCGGGCCGAGAGAGCACCGTAAGGGCTATAAATAGAGCAGTTGAGTCACAGGATGGTAGGCAGCTACTCTACTCACAGCGTAGTACTGACAGCCGGCCTTCCTCCGGAACACAAAGCAGCCATCTGGGTCATTCTCCTCCTCTGCCTCCGAGGAACCTGAATGGATCTAAACATAAACACAGAGGGGGGATGGGGGAGTTACGTTAAGAGGCAGAGACCATAACAACAACGTGGCTGGCTACCTAGACAACAGCCAAGATTGTGAACATATCGCCAACTGCTACTACTACTACTATTACAGTTTCAAATACAGACTGATACTTAACATTATCGCCTTCACTACCATTGTCTGTGCCCCAAATGGCATCCTATTTCGTAAACAGTTGCACTTCTGACAAACTGGTGCAATAAATAGGGAATAGGGTGACATTTAGGACGCAACAGTCATCATCACCACCACCAGCGGTGTTATTTATGAGTTTACCTGGGAAAAGGGTTCGTCGTCAGAGCTGGGGAAGTCGTACTGGTTGAGGTCCTTGGGGTTGAACACAGAGGGGCCAGAGTTTTGGGGTGCAGAGAGAGGAGGAATCTTAGGCTTCTTCTCGTACTTCCTCTTTGTTCGGACCACTTCAGTTTTCTCCAGCTGGAAGGAAGTATATAGAAGAATACTTAACACTCCATTTACTCCATGAACAACGGAAATGTGTCTGAGCCCTGTAACATTTCCTATGGAGGTGGTGCCGTGATCAGGGAGAACCATTTAGAAACAGAACAGTGTAGTGAGTTAAGACTCATTGATATGCAGATGGGGGGCGAGGCACGCGCCAGATGCTTCTGCACAGACAGATGGTGCCTCTCCCTGCCTCCACTAAGACCAGACCCCCCTACCTGACTGCACACACACACTCCTCCACACCACTACTGGGGGTTAGTGAACTGAACTCCCATTCAACCTAAGGCCCCAGGGGGAAGAGGCAGGGAGAAAGGCTACAATACGGGGGAGCAGGGGGGTGTCATAAGTCAAAACATTGGAAGGAATGAAAGCAAAGGGCCAGTGGGGTGTGGAGGGACAGGGTTACGTCAACGGATGAGGGTGGGAGAGAAACAATAGGGGAGTCACTCGTCACCCAGCTGATTGATTGACTGTTTAATAGTCATAAGTAGTAGGGATGGGCAATTTCAAGACGAATCGATATGCATCTTAGGGCTGGGCGATATATCGAATTAATTCCAAAATGCCTGTATTTTTCTGTGCATTTATGTCCGCTTGTTCTCATGTCTTTTTGGTCTCTTCTCCTTCGAACTTTCAGTGCTGTGTGCACCTTCCCATTTACAGGGTATTATACCCTGATGAAGACAGGCTTGTGCTTGAGAGATTGTTTATGAGACCTGTGTGACTTTTCTATAATGCCTGCTACAAGAAGTTAGTCATTATTAGGGAATGTGTATTATGCATGGTTTCGGTTAAATTTTACCAAATAAAAGGGGCATTTTCATAGACAGACTTGGTTAAAACTATTTTGATGAAATAATATAATTCTTAGAGAGTCTTATGGTTGTGGAAGGCTTATATTTAGCCTAGGTATAATTTCACAAGCCCTGAATTCATTAGATTTTTGCTGACTGTTTGAAATGAAGTCTATTTGACCTTTAAATTGTACAACAAAGCTTATTTAAAGAAAATATTACAAAAATTGTGATATATCGAGAATCTCCCATAAGTAAAAAAATATATATAATAAAATAACAATCTAAGCCTTAACACATATCTAGATACATGGGCTCCATGTACGTTTTAGTTTGAAACGATCCGGTTTGATTAGAGCAGGGATTATCAACTAGATACAGCCGCGGGCTGATTTTTTCTTGAGCGGATGGTGGAGGGCCAGAACATAACAAATAATTTGTAGACTGCATATTGATTGCAAGAAGCCAAAACAGAAATAAACTAAAACTTGCTTACATTTGCATATGATCACGTCTGTATTATGCGTGGGAATACTTGGGAACAGAATTTCACAATTCAAATAACTTGGAACTGATTTCCTGGTGTTTTTAGACTTTTATGTCCAACAACAGAGAAAAATAAAAATATACATACAGTACCAGTCAAAAGTTTGGACACCTACTCATTCAAGGGTTTTTCTTTATTTTTTCCTATTTTCTACATTGTAGAATAACATCTAAACTATGAAATAACACAAATGGAATCATGTAGTAACCCAAAAAGTTTTAAACAAACAAAATATATTTTATATTTGAGATTTTTCAAAGTAGCCACCCTTTGCCTTAATGACAGCTTTGCACACTCTTGGTATACTATATATACAAAAATGTGGACACCCCTTCAAATTAGTTGACACGGCTATTTCAGCGACACCAGTTGCTGACAGGTGTATAAAATTTAGCACACAAACATGCATTCGCCATAGACAAACATTGGCAGTAGAATAACCTTACTGAGATCAGTGACTTTCAATGTGGCACCGTCATAGGATGCTACATTTACATTTTTTGTAACATTTTAGTCATTTAGCAGACGCTCTTATCCAGAGCGACTTACAGTTAGTGAATACATATTTTTTTTATACTGGCCCCCCGTGGGAATCGAACCCACAACCCTGGCGTTGCAAACACCATGCTTTATCAACTGAGCTACATCCCTGCCGGCCATTCCCTCCCTATCCTGGACGACGCTGGGCCAATTGTGCGCCGCCCATGAGTCTCCCGGTCGCGGCCGGCTGCGACAGAGCCTGGATTCGAACCAGGATCTCTAGTGGCACAGTTAGCACTGCGATGCAGTGCCTTTGACCACTGCGCCACTCAGGAGTACCTTTCCAACAAGTCAGTTCGGCAAATTTTGGCCCTGCTAGAGCTTCCCCGGTCAACTTTAAGTGCTGTTATTGTGAAGTGGAAACGTATAGGATCAACAACGGCTCAGCCGCGAAGTGGTAGGCCACACAAGCTCACAAACCGGGACCGCCGAGTGCTGAAGTGTGTAAAAATCATCTGTCCTCAGTTGCAACACTCACTACCGAGTTCCAAACTGCCTCTGGAAGCAACGTCAGCAAAATATCTGTTCGTCAGGAGTTTCATGAAATGGGTTTCCATGGCCGAGCAGCCGCACACCAGCCTAAGATCACCATGAGCAATGCCAAGCACCGGCTGGAGTGGTGTAAAGCTTGCCACCATTGGACTCTGGAGCAGTGGAAACGCATTCTCTGGAGTGATGAATCACGATTCACCATTTGGCAGACCGACGGACGAATCAGGGTTTGGCGGATGCCAGGACAACGCTACCTGCCCCAATGCATAGTGCCAATTGTAAAGTTTGGTGGAGGAGGAATAATGGTCTGAGGCTGTTTTTCATGGTTCAGGCTCCTTAGTTCCAGTGAAGGGTAATCTTAACGCTACAGCATAGAATTCTAGATGATTCTGTGGTTCCAACTTTGTGGCAACAGTTTCCTGTTTCAGAATGACAAGGTCACCGTGCACAAATTGAGGTCCATACAGAAATGGTTTGTTGAGATCGGTGTCGAAGAACTTGACTGGCCTACACAGAGCCCTGACCTCAACCCCATCGAACACCTTTGGGATGAATTGGAATGCCGATTGCGAGTCAGGCCTAATCGCCCAACATCAGTGCCGACCTCACTAATGCTCGTGGCTGAATGGAAGCAAGTCCCCGCAGCCATGTTCCAACATCTAGTGGAAAGGCTTCACAGAAGAGTGGAGGCGGTTATAGCAGCAAACGGGGGACCAACTCCATATTAATGCCCATGATTTTGGAATGAGATGTTTGACGTGCAGGTGTCCACATACTTTTGGTCATGTAGTGTATGTATGTACAGTTGAAGTCGGAAGTTTACATACACCTTAGCCAAATACAATTAAACTCAGTTTTTCACAATTCCTGACATTTAATCCTAGTAAAAATTCCATGTCTAGGTCAGTTAGATCACCACTATTTTAAGAATGTGAAATGTCAGAATAATAGAGAAAATTATTTATTTCAGCTTTTTTTCTTTCATCACATTCCCAGTGGGTCAGAAGTTTACATACACTTAATTAGTATTTGGTAGCATTGCCTTTAAATTGTTTAACTTGGGTCAAACGTTTTGGGTAGCCTTCCACAAGCTTCCCACAATAAATTGGGTACATTTTGGCCCATTCCTCCTGACAGAGCTGGTGTAACTGAGTCAGGTTTGTAGGCCTCCTTGCTCACACATGCCTTTTCAGTTCTGCCCACAAATGTTCAATAGGATTGAGGTCAGGGCTTTGTGATGGCCACTCCAAGCCATTTTGCCACAACTTTAGAAGTCTGCTTGGGGTCATTGTCCATTTGGAAGACCCATTTGCAACCAAGCTTTAACTTCCTGACTGACGTCTTGAGATGTTGCTTCAATATATCCACATAACTTTCCTTCCTCATGATGCCATCTATTTTGTGAAGTGCACCAGTCCCTCCTGCAGCAAAGCACCCCCACAGCATGATGCTGCCACCCCCGTGCTTCATGGTTGGGATGGTGTTCTTCGGCTTGCAAGCGACCCCCTTTTTCCTCCAAACATAATGATGGTCATTATGGCCAAACAGTTCTATTTTTGTTTCATCAGACCAGAGGACATTTCTCAAAAAAGTACAATCTTTGTCCCCAAGTGCAGTTGCAAACCGTAGTCTGGCTTTTTTATGGCGGTTTTGGAGCAGTGGCTTCTTCCTTGCTGAGCGGCCTTTCAGGTTATGTCGATATAGGACTTGTTTTACTGTGGATATAGATCCTTTTGTACCTGTTTCCCCCAGCATCTTCACAAGGTCCTTTGCTGTTGTTCTGGGAATGATTTGCACTTTCCGCACCAAAGTACATTCATCTCTAGGAGACAGAACACATCTCCTTCCTGAGCGGTATGACGGCTGCGTGGTCCCATGGTGTTTATACTTGCGTACTATTGTTTGTACAGATGAACGTGGTACCTTCAGGCGTTTGGAAATTACTCTGTAGCTCAATTGGTAGAGCATGGCGCTTGTAACGCCAGGGCAGTGGGTTCCATCCCCATGACCACCCACACGTAAAAATGTATGCACACATGTCTGTAAGTTGCTTTGGATAAAAGTGTCTGCTAAATGGCATATTACTATTATTATATTATTATATGAACCAGACTAGTGAAGGTCTACAATTTTCCCCAAGCTGTTTAAAGGCAAAGTCAACTTAGTGTATGTAAACTTCTGACCCACTGGAAAGGTGATACAGTGAGTTATAAGTGAAATAAT